CCAGTTCTGTTCAAGGTTTAGTTGTAGGTGTCTGCTTCTACTTCCATCAGCTGCTGGATGAAGGCATGTTTGTCTTTTTGTGACTGGGTTACCTCGCTCAGAATGTTTTCTTCTCATTCCATCCATTTGCCTTTGAATTTCAATTTCATTGTTTGTTTGTTTTTTCCATTGAGTAGTTAAGTAGTCCATTGTATAAATGTACCACATTTTCTCTATCCATTCTTCAGTTGAGGGGCATCTAGGTTGTTTCCAGGTTCTGGTTATTACAAATAATGCTGTGATGAACATCGTTGAACAGATGTCCTTGTTGTATGAATGTGTTACTTTTGGGTATATGCCTAAGAGTGGAATTGTTGGATCTTGTGGTAGACTGATTCCCAATTTTCTGGAGGAGTGCCATACTGATTTCCAAAGTGACTGTACAAGTTGGCAATCCCACCAGCAATGGAGGAGGGTTGCCCTTTCTCCACATCCTCTCCAGCATAAACTGGCATTGGTGTGTTTGATTTTAGCCATTTAGACAGGAGTAAGATGTTATCCCAGAGTTGTTTTGATTTGCATTTCCCTGATGGCTAAGGATGCTGAACACTTTCTTATGTGTCTTTCGACCATTTTAGTACAGAATGACATGAAACCTGTTTTTCTTTCATTGCATTTTTTTCAAGTGGCATTATTTCTAACCACACAATAATGTCTTTACATGAATGGGTTCAACTCTGGAATTTTGTACCTCAGAGTCTAGCTTCAGAGTTCACACAGAACACGTTTGTTTGTTTTGTTTTTTGAGATAGAGTCTTGCTATGTAGTTGAGATTGGCTTCAGACTTACTGTGTAGTTCTTACTGGCCTTGGATCTTCAATTGTCAATCCTCTCGCCTTAGCTTAGCTTCTCTAGTACTGGCATAATAATCGTGTGTCAACACACCCAGTGTCAAATAAATATGCTTTTTTTTTTCTTGGTAATGAAGCACTTCAAAATAAATTTGACATTTATGTTTGTCTTTCATCTATCTCTTTGTAGCAAATTCTTATACCATTTAAGCACTGTTTAAATTGGTACTGTAGAGGTGCTGTACTGGACTCCTTGAGGTCATAAAGTAAACTATCTTTCCCCATATATCAGGTCTTTTTAGTTTGATCAATGCCTTTGCTCTAAGTGAAAGAATTCTGCTAACGAAAAAATCAGAAAATTTGATTTTTGTTTCTATATTGGTCCACACATGCATTAGTTACTTGTGTTGGCAAGACACAATACCTAACCAAAGAACTTGGGGGATGGCAGATTTATTCTAGATCACAGTTTAAGTTTTCTAAATAGACTTATTTATTTTATTTTATATGTATGAGTGTTTTACACATGTATATATTTTCAGCATATGAATGCCTGTTGCCTAGGGAGGGGAGGCCAGAAAATGGGATCAGATCTGGAATTAGGGTATAGATTGTGAGATTCTGTATGGGTGCTTAGAATCGAACCTGGGTCTTCCAAGAGAGCAATAATTACTCTTAAACACTGCACTGTGTCTTAAGCCTCCCATTCTCATTGCTTTAAATGGTTCAAATCCACAGTTGCTTGACCTCATGTTTGAGCAGAACATGATGATGGCAACAGTGTGTGGAGGAGATATTTTACTTGATGAGGAGAGGAAGTACAATGGAGCCTGGAGGAGATCAAAGAAAGACATGCATTGAAAGAAATACTCTCTATGAACTACTGCCTCCAATCAGATCTTAATTTCTATAGTTCCATCACTTCCCAATAGTCTGTTAGTTTGGAATCATTAATGAATTAAATTATTGATTATACCAGTGCCCCAGGATCTAGAAATACCTTAGGCAGCTGATAATCCAATCAAGTGAACAATCAAAATTAATCATCATAATCAATTTCTCTACCTGTAAAATACTAATGATACCTAGTCTATGATACAAGGTTATTATGAAGGCAAATACATGTAAAATGATGTTTACAAATGGTTGGTTGTTGTTACTATAGTTACTAGATAGTTACTAGACTAATATAGTTACTATATAGTTACTAGACTAATAGGTCTAGTTACAGGTTTGCTGACCTTGTAGAGCAATTATATTAAAGGATAATTTTATGCTATCCAACTTCAATAACTGCAGGGTCTTAGCCCAACCACGGAAGGCTGAGCTGGGTCCGAGGAAAGGTAAGTGTGCTGCTTGCCCTTTTCCCAGCCACCCAGGATCCAGGAGACAATCAGATGCAGCAGGGAGTCTAGTCAAAGGGGAACTAGTTTGTTACCACACCATAAGCATCTTTTAAAGGAAAAAACTGCAGAGTGGGAAAACAGCCAGTCAATGGTTTTGAAAGGTCAGCCTATCATGTGCTTAGGTGCCTCATGTTTTACCTAGTGAACACCAGCTCTTCATGCAGTGACCTCATCTGGCTCAAACTAGACAACCAACCATCTGTTTTTGTAAATAACTCAGGATTTGACCATCTGAGTTCCCCTCAGTGCCATCTTTGACTGGCTCATGTGCCCTACAAATAACATTATTTTAGACAACATTAAATTTTACTTCAAATAAGTGATATTAAATATAATATATATATATATATAAATTCTATGTTTATGGCATGTCTATTATGTGCCAAAGACTATTCTAGGGTTATAAAAGGCAAAAGGGTGAGCAGGATATTCATTTGTCATCAAGGATTGAGAGTCTATCCTCATGAAAACCCAGTACAAACACAAATTAATATAAAGGTGTTATGATGAATTCTCTGAAGGACCAGCAACGTAGCTCAAGAGACTCACTCTAAACTGTATCTGGAAAGACTTCAAGGGGAGATCATATAACTATTCTTTGAGATTTAAACATCAGTAAACTAGAATCAAGAGGAAGGTTTTAATAAGAAAACAAAACAAAAACCATTGACTGTCCAGACATTTGTGATGCATGACTGTAGTACCCAGGCTTTAAAGAATCCATCAACAGATCTGGGCTACATAGCAAGACTCCATCTCAGATAAATAAATGGTTAATATTGCTTGCCAACTTGACAAGATCTAGTATCAACCATGAGATAATCCTCTCTAAATACCTGTGAAGCATTTTCATCTTTTGATTAGGGGATTTGAAATGGGAAGATCACCATAAATGTCTACCTTCCAGTGGCCCAAAAATAAAGTCCAAGGAAAAAACTTTTCCTTTTTGGGGGGAGGAAGGGGGTTTCAAGACAGATTTTCTCTGTGGCTTTGGAGGCTGTCCTGGATCTCACTCTGTAGACCAGGATGGCCTTGAACTCACAGAGATCTACCTGCCTCTGTCTCCCGAGTGCTGGGATTAAAGGCGTGTGCCACCTCCGCCCAGCTACAGCTTCACTTCATGTCTTGTTGGCCTGGTCATCTACTCTATTGTTATCACTGCCACTGCTGCTGCCATCCTTCGTTGACATGGGAACCCAGCATGTTTGAGCTTCGAATTACCAAAGACCAGTGGCTCTCTGGGACTCCTCTTGGTCTTCAGCATCAGACTGGGGCTGCTAAGGTGTCCAACTTCATCATGGTCTGAAAAGCTAAGGCTTCTCAGTCTCTTCAATGTGAAGACAGCTACTGTTGAACTACCTAGTCTGTACTGTGTAAGCCAATTTAAAAAATATCCCCCTTTTATATAGTCATACTATTGGTCCCATTCCTCTGAATAAATGAATAAATAAATGGATAAAAATTTAATATTACTACGGAAAACACAGAAAGTACAAAGTATATTCTGGAAACAGAAAGTAGAACTGAGTTCCTTAACTATAGAGTTTTCCCAGAATTTGAAATGTTTATAGCTAAGTGTCTCCATGTAAATGAGCCCTGTTGGAAGTGGATCTCCTAGCTACAATCAAACCTACCTTGTAATCTTTAGAGAACTGTGACTCCAGAACCATACAGCTAGACTTTGCCAACTTATGACTCACAGATAATTTTAAATATGAAATGATGTCACTCCCTAAATAACAATAAACAATACAAAGGTGAAAAGTGAAAAGGCTCTTTTAGACTTTTCTCCATCCACGGACAGAAATCAGAGTTAACCAGAGTTCAGATGGTCCCGAGTCTGACGTAGACAACTATAACCGCTCATCTCTCCCACTAGAAAGCCACTAGACAAATCTCCGCATTAATTTTTCCACTTCAACTGTAGTACAGTTCTGGGCTTTTATGAAACTACAAAACTGACGTTGTTTTAACGTGTTATATTTCAGCTCAGACCGGAGTAAGTTCTCTGTAACTTACTGACTTTGCGGAGCGACTAGAATCATATATGAAGATGTATGTTCACCTTTGCTCAGTGTTGTGGATAGTTTCAAAAACCATGTAATGCCCTCAAATGTATATAGAGTCCTTCTTTATGAAAAGGGGAAAAGGTCATATTAACATTTCCTCAGTGCATGTTAAAAAAATGGAGGTATGGTTTTGAGTGCAGCACACTTAGCTATCTGAAAGTGACTAAGTCTTTAATACAGACAATATTGTTTGTCTCCTAAAAACAGCCTCTCAGTTTTTGTCCTGACTCGGCGGCTCAGACTCAGGCTTATCAAGCATATTTAGAGGTTGTTTTAGGAAAAGTGCAACGGGCTGTGTTGCTGAAACTTAGTTGCTAAGTTTTCAAGTCCCAATTCCCGCGTTCTTACATTAACCCTGGTTCTTTGAGCTCCTTTCACTGTCCACAGGACCCAGATGGAAATGTGTGCGACCCGAAGCGCGCAGGATGCAGTGGCCTGCAGGCTTCCGGGAAGGAGTCGGCACCCCTGGGCGGGGCATGGACGCAAATGGGCGGGGTTAGGGTGTTGATGGGCGGGACCAAGGGCCCCTGGCGCGGCGGGGCGGGGCGGGGCGGGACGCGCGGGGGCTGGGGAATGGGCGGGACCAAGGGCCCCTGGCGCGGCGGGGCGGGGCGGGGCGGTGGGTGCGGGAGATTTGAACTTTGATTCGGCCTGGTCTGTGATCCAGGAAGTTAAGTTGCCTGCTTGTTTTTCAGTTTGGCTTTGCAGCCATCAGGAGCTCAGGGCGGCCTACAGAGATGGTGGAAGGGCCAGGCTGTACCCTGAATGGAGAGAAGATTCGGGCGCGAGTGCGGCCAGGCCAAGCTGTGACCGGCGTGCGGGGAAGAGCGCTGCAGAGCCTGGTGGGCCCTGCCTTGCCCCCCGCAGCCTCTCAGGTTGAGGTCTCTTCCCAGGTGAGTCAGTCCTATGAAGTGGAGTGCGAGCAGAAACACCCTGTTTCTGGGTCCCATGGTATCTGCATCTACTTTGGTCCCGGTGTTCTAGGGCCTGTGTTTCTCAGTATTTATCGTTAAGAAGTGAGTCCTAGCCTGAAGGGGCTAACAATGTTCGATCCATGGGAGGTATTTTGTTTTTTTGACAAGCCGCCTCTGTGAGTCAGTCCTCAAAAGATGTTTTCTGATCTTTACCGTCTACTTTAACTGACAATCCCGTCAGGTTTGTGCAAAGTCTGGTGTTTTCCTTCACATCGTTGGACTGACCTTTTAGCATAAAGTTGTAGCCCTTCCGCTTGCCTAAAAATCTGCAGTTGATAAGTAATATATAATTCTAAAATTGCACATGGAAAATTTAGCACTAAATTCTCACTCAGCTGAATATTGCCATCTAATGAAGGGGCAGTGAAACCTAGTTCAGGCGTCCGTAAGTGAATTTATTTCTTTTTAAAGTAAATTGTAGCACAGCTTCTTGCCACTCAGGCGTACATTGCAGATGGCTGGATAGTCATTTGGTAAGAACTTAGAATTGTACTAAAAATATTCTGATTAAACTATCATGCTTTTAAAGCCCTTTAGATGTGCAGTTGATTGTGTTTCATGGGTACACGAAATATTGTGCTGTACTTCAATTTCTCTTGCAAAGCTTCCTCATCACCTTTGGTCTAGGAAAGGAGTTTTCTGTTATGAAATTAGCATATGTTCCCAACTTGAAAGACACGAGGAAAACATATTTTCAAGCTGAGAAAAAAAGAGAAATGTTTTGGATCTGTTAACAGTTGCGTTTCCATTTATTTTGACTTCATATGTCAGCAAGTGCTCTGTACTTTTTTAAAATTAGCATGTTTCTCAAAATTATTTCAGAGTACTACAGAAATCTATGTTAATCGTTTCTCTAAAGTATTAATGTTGATGAAGATCACTCATTCAGCAAAAATTTTGAATACTCTTAAAATAACAAAGTACAGGGAAATAACTGTTCTTATACTGTAGTTGGGAAAATGCATAGCTATTCAGTAAATGATAACATGAAGGATTAGGAATTGACATGTTTTCAGAGGAAGTATGTGGTTCTCTGTTAGGACATTGGGAGAAACCAGAGAAATCTCCCTTGGGAAGGTAACATAGCTGATATATGAAGTGGGCATGGGAGATAGAGAGTTCCTGGAATGAAGATGAGGCAATATGCAGACAAATAGCACAGAAGGGTCTGAAAGAAAATCAGTGTGTGTGTGTGTGTGTGTGTGTGTGTGTGTAAAAGAGGAAGATAAGAAGGTGATATTGAAGTTGATCAGCAGATTATAAAGAACTCCATATACCGAATGTGGGACTTGGATGTTTTTGAGTTTAATTTTATTTTTTGTAATTGTTTATGGTTGTGTGTATGTGTCACAACATAGGTTGGGACCACTTGCAGGGTTCTATTTCTTTCTCCAGTGTGGGTTCCAGGAACCAAACCAAACTGATATCTTTGGCCTTAGGTGCCTTGATCTGCTGAGCCATTTCAAATACTTCACATTAAGGCCTTTTTCTTTGTCTTAGGCATTTTGACAAACCTTGCTTGAATTGTAGTCAGATTTCTTTACACTTTGTATAGAACCCTGTATATTGAAGAAGAAAAACCTGGAAGAAATCTCAAGTAAACTTTGCAGTGATCCAGGTGAGGAGCTTGGGCTCAGATGCTGATGGTAGAGATTAAGTGAAGAAAACCAGCCACTGTGTTATAAGTGAAGACTGTAGCACTTAGCAATGCCTAAGTTATGAACATCCTCACTGATACCATGATTTGCATCAGTCAACACTAATGTTTTGTTATGTACTCTGTGCTAGTCACCAGGAAAATAAAAACCAGATAAGATTCCAATTGCCAGAAACCAAGTTTATGTTTTAAATGATCGTCTCACTGGTATTTAGGCAAAATAGTACTAACCATTTCTTCTAAGTTTATTTTGATTACCTGTGACAAAACCCTGAATACTGTTAGTCATGAGAAAGAGTAATACCACAATAAAGATAAACCAGATGCTACAGAAAAGGAATATGGGAGCTCAAGGTGAATTTAAATCAGCTCAACACTGTAATGTGTAGTGAGGTGTTGGGCCAAGGTTTGGTCTGCCTCCAGACTCCAAAAGAAATACTCTTACATATGTTATAGCAACTCAGTAATAAAAGGTTCAGTAATAGAGTGGTTAACGAAATGGCACACCATAAGGCCCTGTATGTGATAGCTATTTCTTATTAACTGAAGAACTATGACCTTGGGTGTTGGAGGTGTCCTCCACCATTTACATTTTGTTCACCTCAGTCAATTATCTGCTCTGATAATTCTCTTCATTCCTGTGTTCAGATGGCACCAAAGAGTGCATCTTGATAACCTAATATAAGTGCTTTATTAATGGTTGAGCAATGATTAGAGTCCCTTGGCAACAGTACGCACTAAGCTATATTCCACAAATAAATAGCCCTGCATTTAAAGCTATTATGGATAATGACTTAAATAGAAAGAAGAACTAATTATTGGAATAGAGCCTTGTGATTAGGATGAAGGATCTGCTTCTATTGACATTGAATTGAAAATCAATATGGAACTACTAATGTTGTGGCTTTCGCTGAAATTCTAAATACTCTCTTGTGGCTGCATTTTCTGGGCCTTTGATCTAAAAAAGCATAATAATAACCTTTGTAAATATCAACAGTCTTTTGCATTTGAGAGGGATGTTGGATCTACACTAAATTTTATTAAAATATGGACCATTGTCACAAACTTCTGGCAAGATCATTATTGTAACAGATGATCCCCTGCTTCTTAGGCATATATGCCAAAGAGCTAAAGCTATTTAATGTTTCTGCTGCTGCCTTGAAATGATTAGTTTTCTCAAAGCAGCATTTAAAAATAATTGCATACTGTATTCTTTACAGTACAATAAATATGAAAAAATAACAAAGGAGAGCTAAAGAAATATTAAGTGGCCATTTAAAATAAAAGATTTGAACTTCAGATAATCATTCCAAAAAACAAACAAAATGTCTTCCCCCAGGAGCTACTGCCAGAAGGAACCACTTAATCTGTTTATTTTCTAGCATTTCTCTTTGTTCTAGTTTAAAGTCCATAGAAAATCACTAATTCCCTCCGCCGCCCTGTGACAACCATCGTCCTTATTTTGAAGAACACTTGCTGTAGAAGATCTTGGCATCTGCCAGTCATCCACACGCTGTATTACTTTTCTAAGTTGTGGCCCACTGTCTTGTCAGTTTAAAATCAAGCAACCGTTTAAGCACATTTCATCAAACTCTGCGGGAGCTTGTGGGACCTTATGGTAAGAAAAAATATCAGAATGTAAATGAATGTGTTCAGCTAATGAGCTCTGAAGAGTCAATCTTCCAATTATAATTGTTGGGTAGATATGGTATTTTAGTGAAATCAGTGTATAATCTGCATGTGTTTTTTTAAATCCCTTCCCAAAAATGAAACAGTGTATGCATAAACATTCATTGATTTGAAACATGCACTGGTTGTTGTGATAATTCCTTGAGATCTCATACATGTACTTAATATGTTGCCTACATTTAGTCATTTGTATACTTTAGAGCATCGTGAACAGGCTAGGCATTTAAATATGAGTTGAATGATGGAGAAAAGCCAGACTTGGAATAATGTAAATGGCTAAGTATTTTTTAAAGAGTCTGTCTGGAGTCTCTTATTATGACTTTGTGAAGCTTTAGTTGTGTGTGTCATTTGGAGACATGTATTGCTACATCAAAGTACAGAAGCCCCATAGTAAAAGTCTCCCTGTGTTCAAAGTAGAAAAAAAAATACATGTTTTTCTTGCCTTTTATTTGAAAGGATGAGCTAATCAAATATGTAAAAGGGTTTCCTATATATTTTATAGGGCATGCATCAGATACTTCTTGCCTTTTAAGTGGACACTGATAATGACTTCTCCAGAGACTTAAGGTCATCATTATTATTATTAGACCCAGCATTACACTGACTCAAGAAAAGAAAGAGTGATGAAGTAAATTCTATTTTTCTACAGATGAGGGTGGTGAGTTGTCTATGGCTGTTGTAGCTTTGACCCAGCATTGTTTCAGATGCTGGAAAGAACATCTGGTCATTGTTACTTTTGTCACATCCTCACCTGGAGATGTTTTCCTCACATCTTACTTTATTTGATGGAGTGTAAATTAGAGGACCTAAAATCTCTTAGCTTAGTATTTAGCAAAATAAGCATTTTTATGATTGCTCCTCTTTTTCTTGGACACAGCAGACCCATTTATGTTAGAATATGTTAGAATACCCTCTTCTTTTATGGAGAGTTCGTGTTTCCTTGATATCATCAGGTGAAGTACAGTAAATTTAGCCTTTGTGAAAGTTCTCAAGAGTGTAGAACATGTTTCCTGTATGGTCCTAAAGACATTATTTTAGATCTTAGGAATCATTTTAAAATTAGGGTTTTTAAGGATTTAGATTGATAGATAAGTGACCTATAATTTTAAAAAGTATATTACTGAGACGATGAAAGTGAATAGGACATTCTCAATGGCAACATTATACAACTGAATGAGAGTCAAAACATTTGTCTAGGAAAGTCTTATTTTTCTCCGAAAAGTTCATCTTCCTGGTTCACCCACGGATAGGCAAGATAAATGGTAATCAGCACAATAAATCATGTGCTGTCTCTGAAAATATATGTTGTTTTGAAGATTTCCTATTATTAAGCCACTTGAAAATGGGAAGGTGAACCCTACTCAATCATACTTAAAATTGTGGCCAAGGAGATTTTCATCTCTATTTCAGACAAAGAAAGAAAAGGTCCAAATGTTCAAATAACACAGTAACAGGATTATAAGGGTCAACATGAGAAAGTCAAATACATATTGGGCAATTGTGTATAGTTACAGCAAAGATAATAGCCTTCTGGAAATTAATTTCTGAATTTGTCTGGGCAGTAGAAGCTTAT